ATGTGCAGTGTAGAGGGTCGCTGTGATACGACCACCGGCCTCGAGCCTCAGGGGCGAAACGTACAGGTCCTGCAGCTATGGAGGCGTGCGGCCAATCACTTCCTCTGCAGAGCGCACAATGCGCTGTAGTCTCTGTTTTGGTCCCTACTGTGGCTCCCCAGCGAACCACACGGTGACGGAGAGGGTGAGGATGGACTCGTTGATGGCCCGTGAAGACACTGCACCAACATCTGTGGCAGGCAGCTTGGCTTTCCCTGAGCTGCTGCAGGTATACATCCTCTGCTGTAGGGGGGGGTGAGCCTTCTTGATGAGGGAGCTGATTGTCAGCTCCCACTTGAGGTCCTGGTGATGGAGGGTGCCCAGGCAACGGAAGGGGAAAGTCCATCACGGAAGGTGGGCGGGGGGCCAAGTGCTCTTCCTGAAGTCCACAATCATCTCCACTGTCTTCTGGTCGTTCATACTCCAGGTTGTACCAACTTGCACCAGACCCCCGTCCCACCTCCTCCTGTCGGCGGGTATCAATCGTTCTGGAGATTATCCAAGGAGGGAGGTGTCATCCGCGAACTTGAGCATCTTCACCGAGTCGTGGCTGGAGGTGCAGTGGTTGGTGTACAGGAAAAGAGCAGGGGAGAAAGAACACAGCCCTGTGGGGCGTCCTGTATTTATAATCCGAGAGCCGAGACATCTGTCCCCAGTACGCACTCGCTGCTTCTGCTGTCAGGAAGTCATGATCCCCGGCAGGTGAAAAACGGGCACGTTGAGCTTGAGAGATTGTCCCTGGATCAGGGATGGCAGGATCGTGTTGAAGGCAGAGCTTAAGTCCACGAACAGGGACCCTGGCTTAGGTCCACCGGGAGTCCAAGTGCTGTAGGATGTGTGGAGGGCCTGGTTGATGGCGTTGTCTACAGATCTGTTTGCTCTGTAGGCGAACTGCCGGGGTCCAGGAGGGGGGAGGTGAGGGACTTTGAGATGGGAGACGGACCATGCGTTCACATGACTTCATGACGACAGACGTAAGTGCTACAGGTTTTTGTACTGTAGTCATTGAGTCCTTGTGGATCTGGGCTTCTTCGGACGGGGGCAATGATGGATAGGAATTTGAACAGGCCGGGACATGGCAGGACTGCAGAGAGGAGTTAAAAGTGTCAGTGAACACAGGAGGTACTCACTCGACGCAGTGTCGCAGATTGCTGGAGACACTTTGGGTCCGGCCAGGGAGCTTGCGGGGTGCAGCCTCAAGAAGAGTTGTTTAATTATCTCGTGCCCGGGGACTTGCTGCTTCAGTTCGTCCTGAACTGATATTTAGCTGCTTTGTAGCCGCTGCGGTCCCCCTCCCTGAAAGCCGACAAGACATGGCACCATCCACCTTACAGGGCACCTAGCCCGACCTATACGTCCCAGGGACAATAGGCTCTCCACCGTGCTGTCCCGGTGTGGCTTAGCACGGTGGGTGTGAGGATCCTTCCGCTGCCCAGTGTATTCCCTGCATGCTGGACACGCCACCTTGCTAAGTGATAGGCAAGGAGGAAGAAGGAAGAACGGCCCTAACCGCAATGATTATGCGTATAAAAATTAAAATAATCATACGATTTAACTGAACGTTGAAACTGACATTGAAAATGTTCCAAAAAGTTGACACTACACAACTGTGTCCTCGTCCAGCGCTTCGGCATCAAGATCAAATAGAATTGTTCAGTGTCTTTCTGGTCTCTCTCTCTGGTCTCTCTCTGGTCTCTCTCTGGTCTCTCTCTCTGGTCTCTCTCTCTGGTCTCTCTCTCTGGTCTCTCTCTCTGGTCTCTCTCTGGTCTCTCTGGTCTCTCTCTGGTCTCTCTCTCTGGTCTCTCTCTCTGGTCTCTCTCTGGTCTCTGGTCTCTCTTGGTCTCTCTCTCTGGTCACTCTCTGGTCTCTCTCTGGTCTCTCTCTCTGGTCTCTCTCTGGTCTCTCTCTGGTCTCTCTCTCTGGTCTCTCTCTCTGGTCTCTCTCTCTGGTCTCTCTCTGGTCTCTCTCTCTGGTCTCTCTCTCTGGTCTCTCTCTGGTCTCTCTCTCTGGTCTCTCTCTGGTCTCTCTCTTGGTCTCTCTCTCTGGTCTCTCTCTCTGGTCTCTTTCTCTGGTCTCTCTCTCTGGTCTCTCTCTCTGGTCTCTCTCTCTGGTCTCTTCTCTCTGGTCTCTCTCTCTGGTCTCTCTCTCTGGTTTCTCTCTCTGGTCTCTCTCTGGTCTCTCTCTGGTCTTTCTCTCTGGTCTCTCTCTCTGGTTTCTCTGGTTCTCTCTGGTCTCTCTCTGGTCTCTCTCTAGTCTCTCTCTGGTCTCTCTCTGGTCTCTCTCTGGTCTCTCTCTCTGGTCTCTCTCTCTGGTCTCTCTCTGGTCTCTCTCTCTGGTCTCTCTCTCTGGTCTCTCTCTGGTCTCTCTCTCTGGTCTCTCTCTGGTCTCTCTCTCTGGTCTCTCTCTCTGGTCTCTCTCTGGTCTCTCTCTGGTCTCTCTCTCTGGTCTCTCTCTGGTCTCTCTCTGGTCTCTCTCTAGTCTCTCTCTGGTCTCTCTCTGGTCTCTCTCTGGTCTTTCTCTCTGGTCTCTCTCTGGTCTCTCTCTCTGGTCTCTCTCTGGTCTCTCTCTCTGGTCTCTCTCTCTGGTCTCTCTCTCTGGTCTCTCTCTCTGGTCTCTCTCTCTAGTCTCTCTTTAGGTCTCGCTCTGGTCTCTCTCTCTGGTCTCTTTCTCTGGTCTCTCTCTGGTCTCTCTCTCTGGTCTCTCTCTCTGGTCTCCTTCTCTGGTCTCCTTCTCTGGTCTCTCTCTCTGGTCTCCTTCTCTGGTCTCTCTCTCTGGTCTCTCTCTGGTCTCTCTCTGGTCTCTCTCTGGTCTCTCTCTGGTCTTTCTCTCTGGTCTCTCTCTCTGGTTTCTCTCTCTGGTCTCTCTCTGGTCTCTCTCTAGTCTCTCTCTGGTCTCTCTCTGGTCTCTCTCTCTGGTTTCTCTCTCTGGTCTCTCTCTGGTCTCTCTCTGGTCTCTCTCTGGTCTTTATCTCTGGTCTCTCTCTGGTCTCTCTCTCTGGTCTCTCTCTGGTCTCTCTCTCTGGTCTCTCTCTGGTCTCTCTCTCTGGTCTCTCTCTGGTCTCTCTCTCTAGTCTCTCTTTAGGTCTCGCTCTGGTCTCTCTCTCTGGTCTCTTTCTCTGGTCTCTCTCTGGTCTCTCTCTCTGGTCTCTCTCTCTGGTCTCTCTCTCTGGTCTCTGTCTCTGGTCTCTCTCTCTGGTCTCTCTCTGGTCTCTCTCTGGTCTCTCTCTCTAGTCTCTCTCTGGTCTCTATCTCTGGTCTCTCTCTGGTCTCCCTCTGGTCTCTCTCTGGTCTTTCTCTCTGGTCTCTCTCGCTGGTCTTTCTCTCTGGTGTCTCTCGCTGGTCTTTCTCTCTGGTCTCTCTCTGGTCTCTCTCTAGTCTCTCTCTCTGGTCTCTCTCTCTGGTCTCTCTCCCTGGTCTCTCTCTCTGGTCTCTCTCTGGTCTCTCTCTGGTCTCTCTCTGGTCTCTCTCTGGTCTCTCTCTCTGGTCCCTCTCTCTGGTCTCTCTCTCTGGTCTCTCTCTGGTCTCTCTCTCTGGTCTCTCTCTCTGGTCTCTCTCTGGTCTCTTTCTCTGGTCTCTCTCTCTGGTCTCTCTCTGGTCTTTCTCGCTGGTCTTTCTCTCTGGTGTCTCTCTGGTCTCTCTCTCTGGTCTCTCTCTGGTCTCTCTCTCTGGTCTCTCTCTCTGGTCTCTCTCTCTGGTCTCTCTCTCTGGTCTCTCTCTGGTCTCTCTCTGGTCTCTCTCTCTGGTCTCTCTCTGGTCTCTCTCTCTGGTCCCTCTCTCTGGTCTCTCTCTCTGGTCTCTCTCTGGTCTCTCTCTCTGGTCTCTCTCTCTGGTCTCTCTCTGGTCTCTTTCTCTGGTCTCTCTCTCTGGTCTCTCTCTGGTCTTTCTCGGTCTTTCTCTCTGGTCTCTCTGGTGTCTCTCTGGTCTCTCTCTCTGGTCTCTCTCTGGTCTCTCTCTGGTCTCTCTCTCTGGTCTCTCTCTCTGGTCTCTCTCTGGTCTCTCTCTGGTCTCTCTCTCTGGTCTCTCTCTGGTCTCTCTCTCTGGTCTCTCTCTGGTCTCTCTCTGGTCTCTCTCTCTGGTCTCTCTCTCTAGTCTCCCTTTAGGTCTCTCTCTGGTCTCTCTCTCTGGTATCTCTCTCTGGTCTCTCTCTCTGGTCTCTCTCTGGTCTCTCTCTCTGGTCTCTCTCTCTGGTCTCTCCTTCTGGTATCTCTCTCTGGTCTCCCTCTGGTCTCTCTCTCTGGTCTCTCTCTCTCTGGTCTCTCTCTCTGGTCTCTCTCTGGTCTCTCTCTCTGGTCTCTCTCTCTGGTCTCTCTCTCTGGTCTCTCTCTCTGGTCACTGTCTGGTCTCTCTCTGGTCTCTCTCTCTGGTCTCTCTCTGGTCTCTCTCTGGTCTCTCTCTCTGGTCTCTCTCTCTAGTCTCCCTTTAGGTCTCTCTCTGGTCTCTCTCTCTGGTATCTCTCTCTGGTCTCTCTCTCTGGTCTCTCTCTGGTCTCTCTCTCTGGTCTCTCTCTCTGGTCTCTCCTTCTGGTATCTCTCTCTGGTCTCCCTCTGGTCCCTCTCTCTGGTCTCTCTCTCTGGTCTCTCTCTCTGGTCTCTCTCTGGTCTCTCTCTCTGGTCTCTCTCTCTGGTCTCTCTCTGGCCACATCTGTACACAGGTCTGCTGCTGTGGAGAGAAAGGGAACAGCGCCCTCTGCTGCTGCACTCAGGTACTGCACACAAAGGCCCACACTGGAAACTACATTTGGAAAAGGATTTATTCTGAATTTAGGCTCAAAGAAAAGTCAGTGTAATCCTGTAATATAGACATCAGAAATCATCCAGAACCAGAAGCACATGTTTATACTTTTCTGTTTGAATGATACAAAAAGCAGTTACAGTGTGTATAATCCATGAGAGAAAAGAAAAACAATGTTTATATTTTCAGATGGACCTCAGATTTTCTGAGGTCCAGCAGGGGGCGCTCTCCTCAGATCCACCACAGACACAGAGCAACCTTCAGACCCAAGTCCAAACCCAGGGAACACAGGCTCAGAGAAGGAGGAGGTGAAGGTGTGGAGGTGGGACAGTTCTCCATCAGAGAGGACATGATAGAAGGACAGAGATCCAGCCTCAGAGTCCAGGAACACAGACACTCGACCTGAGCGATCTAAGAAGGAGAAGGAGGAGAAGGAGGAGGAGAGAGAGGAGTATGTTTCTCTGTTGTTGTGAAATACAGAGTAACGTCTCTCACAGACCCTCAGACTCCAGGACTGATCATTGGTTCCAAACCCACTCTCTTCTCCCGTCCCTCTGCGTCTGATTCCTCTGTGACTCACTGCGATCTCAATGACCTCCTCCCAGCTCCTCCTGGTCCAGGTCACCTCCCAGTAACAGCGCCCCCTCAGGCCAGTGCTGCTCAGGACCTGTGGCTGGTCTGTAAATCTGTCCTGATGCCCTGGACACTGCTGCTCCTCTGTCCCTCTGGTCACTGTCCGTTTGTCCTCAGACAGTTTGAGGATTCTGTGAGCCGAGTTTGGATCCAGAGAAAACTCACAGGAATCTGAGGAAAAAACACAAAACAAGAAGAAACATCAGCTCCAGACGCTTTAACCACACACTTTAGAGTCAAAGTATACTTTGATATAGATACTATATATTTATATATTTATATCAAAGTATACTTTGATATAGATACTATACATTTATATATTTATATCAAAGTATACTTTGATATAAATACTATATATTTATATCAAAGTAAACATAATACTTTTATATAAATAACTTGTATATAAAGTGAATGAGAAACTCACACTTCCTCAGACCTGGAACCATCCACTGTTCTCCAGCAGGATCCAACCTGCAACACACAAGGCACTTTAGACCAGGACCAGGACCAGGACCAAGACCGAGACCGAGACCGAGACCGAGACCGAGACCGAGACCCGAGACCCGAGACCCGAGACCCGAGACCCGAGACCCGAGACCCGAGACTCGAGACAAAGACCTGGACCTGGACACAGAAACCAAGAGCAGGACCATGGCCAGGACCAGGACAGAGACCGAGACCCGAGACCAGGACAAAGACCTGGACCTGGACAAAGACCTGGACCTGGACAAGAAACCAAGACCGGGACCAGGGCCAGGACCAAAGACCAGAGACCAGGACCAGGACCAAAGACCAGAGACCAGGACCAAGACCTGGACCTGGACCTGGACCTGGACAAGAAACCAAGAGCAGGAGCAGGACCAGGACCGGGACCAGGACCAGAACCGGGACCAGGACCAGGACCGAGACCGGGACCAGAGACCAGGACCAGCACCAGGACCAGGGACCAAGACCAGAGACCAGAGACCAGGACTAGGACTAGGACTAGGACTAGGACCAGGACCAAGACCTGGACCTGGACCAGGACCTTGACCTGGTCCGAGACCAGGACGGGAACCTGAACCAGGACCAAGACCTGGACCAAGACCAAGACCAAGGCCTGGACAAGAGATTAAGAACAGGACCAAGACCTGGACCTGGACCAGGAGCAGGACCAGAGACCAGAGACCAGAGACCAGGACCAAGACCAAAGACCAGAGACCAGGACCAAGACCTTGACCAGGACCAAGGCCTGGACCAAAACCAGAGACCAGGACCAGAGACCAGGACCAGAGACCAGGGCCAGGACCAGGACCAAGACCAAAGACCAGAGACCAGGACCAAAGACCAGAACCAGGACCAGAGACCAGGTCCAAAACCAAGGCCAGAGACCAGGACAAGAGACCAAGACTAGGACCAAGACCAGGACCAAGACCAGGACTAAGACCTGGACCAGAGACCAAGACCAAGAGCAAGACCAGGACCAAGACCAGGACCAGAGACCAGAGACCAGGACCAAGACCACGAGTAGGACCAGGACAAAGATCAAAGACCAGGACCAGGAAGAAGGGAGACCTGGAACAAGTCTAGACCGTGACAGGGACCGAGGACCAGGGTCCATGAACAGGAACCATGACCAAGACATGGACCTGGAAAGGACTTGGACCAGGAAAAAGACCAAGACCAGGATCAGAGACCTGGTCCAGGTCCAGAGCAGGGTCAGACCTGAGTTCCTGCAGGGGGCAGTGTGGGTCGTCCTGTAGAGCCTTCAGCAGCTCTGATGAACCTCCTGGATGGTTGTAGCTCAGGTCCAACTCTCTCAGATGGGAGGGGGCGGGGCTTAGAGCTGAGGCCAGAGCAGCCCCGCCCCTCTCTGAGATCAGACATCCAGACAGCCTAAAGACACACAGTGTTACACTCATGTGGACACAGAGGACACAGATGCATCATGGGAGTCTCACCTGAGAGTGTGCAGTCCACAGGGGGCGCTCGTCAGTCCAGAACACAGCAGCTCTACTCCTGAGTCCTGGAGGTCGTTGTTACTCAGATCCAGGTGTGTGAGACTGGAGGAGCTGAGGACTGAGGCCAGAGGACCACAGCTGTGAGGGGACAGTCCACTGTCCCTCAACCTGAGGACAGAGACACATTAGAGACTAGACCCTCCACAGAAGACCTTCAACACAGTCTGGACTCACAGGGCTTTGGTGGAGGCTCTGACCACCGGCAGCAGACCCAGGAGAGCGGTCTCTGAGGCCGGGTATTTCCTCAGGTCAAAGTCCTGCAGGTCTGAGTCTGAGGACAGTAAGACGAAGGACACAGTCGACCACTGAGCAGGAGAACTTAACCAGTAGAGTTCTCCGTCTCTCATGTACTTCTGTATCTGCTGCACCAGACTGAGGTCGTTCAGCTCCATCAGACAGTGCAGCAGGTTCATGCTTCTCTCTGCAGACAGACCCTTTTTATTCAGCTTCTCTTTGATGTACTCTACTGTCTCCTGATTGGTCTCTGAGTCACTTCCTGTCTGAGTCAGACCTGACAGCAGCCTCTGATTGGTCGGCAGAGACAGCCCCAGGAGGAAGCGCAGGAACAGGTCCAGGTGTCCGTTTGGACTCTGTAAGGCCTGGTCCACAGCACAGCGGTAGAAGGTTCTCACAGACTCAGAGGACTGCGGTGTCTTCAGCAGGTTCTCAGCGGACTGCGGTGTCTTCAGCAGGTTCTCAGAGGACTGTGGTGTCTTCAGCAGGTTCTCAGAGGACTGTGGTGTCTTCAGCAGGTTCTCAGAGGACTGCGGTGTCTTCAGCAGGTTCTCAGCGGACTGTGGTGTCTTCAGCAGGTTCTCAGAGGACTGCGGTGTCTTCAGCAGGTTCTCAGCGGACTGTGGTGTCTTCAGCAGGTTCTCAGAGGACTGCGGTGTCTTCAGCAGGTTCTCAGAGGACTGTGGTGTCTTCAGCAGGTTCTCAGAGGACTGTGGTGTCTTCAGCAGGTTCTCAGAGGACTGTGGTGTCTTCAGCAGGTTCTCAGAGGACTGCGGTGTCTTCAGCAGGTTGTGTCCAGAGCTGTAGAAGGTCTGATGGACGTGAAGAGCAGCCAGAAACTCCTGCACGCTCAGATGGATGAAGCAGTAGACCTGGTCCTGGTACAGGCCTGGCTCCTCTCTAAAGACTTGTGTGAAGACTCCGGAGTACACTGAGGCGGCTGCAGCGTCCAGCCCACACTCGCTCAGGTCACAGTCGTAGAAGATCAGGTTTCCTCTCTGCAGCTGCTCAAAGGCCAGTTTTCCCAGAGACGTCACCATCTCCCTGGTCTGTGGAGTCCAGTGAAGCTCCGCCCCTGATCCCTGCTGATACTTGATGCTCTGGACTTTGGCCTGCACCACCAGGAAGTGTGTGTACATCTGTGTGAGGGTCCGGGGCAGCTCTGGTTCCTCTGTTTGTTCCAGAAGCTTCTGTAGAACTGTGGAGAGGATCCAGCAGAAGACTGGGATGTGACACATGATGTGGAGGCTGCGGCCGCTCTTGATGTGGGAGATGATCGCTGTGGCCTGTCGCTCGTCTCTGAACCTCTTCCTGAAGTACTGCTCCTTCTGCGGGTCGGTGAAGCCTCGGACCTCTGTCACCATGGAGACGCACTCTGCAGGGATCTGATTGGCCGCCGCTGGGCGTGTGGTGATCCAGAGGCGAGCGGAGGGAAGCAGGCTTCCCCTGATGAGGTTCACCAGCAGCAGGTCCAGAGAGACGGACTCTGTGGGGTCTGAGAGGACACGAGAGCTGCTGAAGTCCAGAGGAAGTCTGCACTCGTCCAGACCGTCAAAGATGAGGAGCACCTGGAGGTCTTCAAAGCTGCAGAGACCTTTGGATGGACTGAAGAAGTGCTTTATGAGTCCCACCAGGCTGAAGCTTCTGTCCTTCACAACATTGAGCTCTCTGAAGGAGAAGGGGAACAGCAGCTGGAGGTCCTGATGAGCTCTGCCTTCAGCCCAGTCCAGACTAAACTTCTGAGTCAGCACAGTCTTCCCCACGCCGGCCACGCCCTTTGTCAGCAGCGCTCTGATTGGCTGTGGTGAGTGTGGGCGGGGCTTAAACATGTCTTCACAGGTGATGGTGGTCTCTGGAGCGGCTGGTCTCCTGGACGCGCTCTCCATCAGTCTGACCTCATGTTCCTGGTTGACCTCTGAGGCCCCGCCCTCTGTGATGTAGAGCTCTGTGTAGATCTGGGTCAGGGGGGCGGAGTCTCCTGCTTTAGCCACGCCCTCAAACACACGGCTGAACTTCTGCTGCAGCTGCTTCTTCAGTTCATCTCTACAAACTCCAACAGTGCTTCCTGAATAAAGACAAACAGCTGTGACCATGTGACCACTGAACTGACCCCGCCTCCATTAGCATTAGCCAAAGATGCTAACAACCAAGGCTAACAGCTAACACCATTTCATTTGTAAATTTGACTCAACTAATTTCTACTGGACTTAATTCTAGTCACCAACCAGAACGAATAAGTGCATCTGGTGTCATGAGTGAATGTACCTGTGACCATTCTATAATATACTATAAATATAAATAAATCAATATTCCCAACGGTCCCTTCTGTACGATCAAAATAGAGATTGCTAAAATATGAACGTGGATCAGTTTAAATAGGATCTACTAAACATTCACAAGCCTTTTGTGTTTGATCCCATTTACAGACGATGCTTGGGACTTCTTTCACTCAGAACTTACTAATGTTATTAACAAACATGCTCCAGTTAAAACTAAAAAGGTTAAAGGCAGAACTTGTCAGTATATATAGACTCAGAGACAAAGCCTGGACAATATAGAGTCAGTAAACATCTTGATGACTGGGAAGTTTACAGACGCACAATGATCGCACAAACTAGAAACTCTCAAACTTAATTCTATCAGAAAAACTTATCCCAGGACTTTAAAAATACTAAACATTTTGAACCTAAAAAAGCAAATCTGAATAAAAAATGTAATCATATCTTTTAATTGTGGTGCTTTTCCAACACAAGGCAACACAAAGCACCTCACAACCCACATCATATCACACAAACCATACCAAAATGGACAGTGTTGTGTCAGTTCACAGCTTTTCTGAACTAGTTCAAGTTCACTTCATTTTACTTTTATTGTGAGATATTCAAATAAATACTTTTTTTCACACTACGAGCTGGATATCACTATACGTATATATACAGAATATATATCTCCTGTACACCCACAGGATGAGAGCCTTTTGACTCCAAAACAGACCAGATTTACATGGTCTTCAATGGGAGCAAACTAAGTTGTCCCATCTCTGCTCATAAATACATGTAGGAGGAATGAAAATGACCTCTTTGTCTTGAAATGTATGCTACCCTCCCTCCGCTCTGATAAGACCGCCGCCCCCCCTGGGGAGGAGGCCTGAGGAGTGATAAAACCCTCACAGCTCCATTGTGACGCTCTTACAAAGAAGACTGCGTGGGGACAACATCAGCTCTATGCTCTCGGCCCTCCAGAGGAAAATGGAGGGCCGTCTGACCGTCTGTACTCAACAGTCAAACCTCAGCTCCAAGCTTGAGAGGACTTCCTCAACTCTTCATTAGCCTCCAGCTTCGACATGGAGAAGTCACTGGACTGTGGCTCCCAGACGTTGGATCGTGGAGGGGCTTGGCTCGTGGAAGGCTTGGCTCTGCCACATGAGGCAGCCTCATGGTCCAGGCCATTATCAAGACCCAACAAGGACCGCAATCGACCAAAGACCTGTTCTGGTTGTATGATCTGCTCTTGCTACACATAGTAGTTGGCTTCATTAAAATCTACAATTCAAACTAAGAACACTTCTCTTACAGAGGCTGCACACATGCAAGCCCGGGCCTATCAATCCATTTAGAAGGACAAAGGCCCACACAGTAGCCTCATCCCACATTAGCCTAGCATGCTAACCATGTATCTTGCAATCAACGTTTCCTTCATGTTATTCTTGACAATTTGCATATTTCATATCTAATCTGTATTGTCTATATTTCATTAAATCTACCAAACCATCTTTGTCTGAAAGTGATATTTGTACTGATTTAACTCTAGAAATTGGGTCACTGATTTGTAAAAGAATTCATTACCTTCAGATTCTATTGAAGAGAATTGGACTAACTCGCTTATTAACAACCTTATGCATGGTTTTTTTATTTTATTTCTGGATATCAAAATTGCATGACAGTTTATCAATTATTGTCGATCTAAAATAGATTCTAGCAAAAAAATCCTATTTTATAAAGTGTTTTTTAATGAATTTAAGTTGTCTCTAACCTGTGTGTGACGTCACAGTGGGTAACGCCCACACATTGAAAGCCATGGATCTATGCCACAGATACTATCCTCTCTTCTCCCCACTGTCTGACACAATACTGCACTCTACAGGTGACAGTTGCTCATTACACATATATTGCCGTTTGAGAGTGAATGTGACTGAAGTGAGAATCGATCCCCAGTTTCTGGAGTGCCAGTGTAAAGACATAACCACTGGGCTCTCACAGCACGAGGAGACACACACTGGTAGTTAGAGGTGCAACGGTTCATCACTGATCCGTGATCCGTTCGGTTCAACGTCTTCGGTTCGGTACAGACCTGATCCGCGGTTTGATTTATGAAAAAAAAGTTGTGCGCACGTTGTTCAGTCCACACACAGCGCGGTCATTGCGAGCGGAGGAACGGAGATGCTTGAAAGCCCCACGTCATTTAAATCCCCAGTATGAGAGCATTTTGGCTTCACTGTAACTACACTGATAATTAATATTCGACAAAACTGTCACGATGTGTAAGCACTGTGGCACAAGAAAGACATGAGTGAAAAAAGCGTCTCAACGACCACCTATTGTCGCGGCATTTAAGCAGCTCCTTTACGCACAGTCAGACCGGGCTAAAGTTAGCTCTCCCGCGCATCCTCAGCTGCGCTCACGACTGACGCTTGGACGTCCCGCGGAACCTATAATAGATCCATGAGCGGAACCGCTCACTTCATCACCGCAGACTGGGAGATGAGAAGTCTGGCGTTGCAGACACGCCCCCTCTACAACAGTCACACTGTCACACAGCGCAGGTCCTGACACAAGCAGCGGAGGAATGGAAGACAAAGGCCCAGTACTAATATCCCAGTCACAACTGATAATGCCAAAAATTAAATAAATGCAGTGAATGAGGCTGGGCCCAGAATGGACCCCCTCCTCGGGAGAATCAGGTGGTGTAATATATGAGGGTAAATATCCTCATAAAGTGCCTTCTTATGTTGCACTTTGTGTTGTTTTTCATTAATTATGTTAAATAGACATAATTGAATAGATGGAATATGCCTTCCATCCATCCATCCATTTCCTTCCCCTTAATTCATTTCTAGGTCAGGGGGGGCAGTCAGAGCAGAAGCCGAGTCCACATGAGCTGTGTTTATTAAAAAGACAAAACTTTTTTTTAGAAAAATGAACCGAAAAATGAACCGAACCGTGGCCTCTGAACCGAGGTACGAACCGAACCGTGATTTTTTCAAACCGTTGCACCCCTACTGGTAGTAGTCTCATATTCGCTGTACACCGCACTGCCATCTTGAATATCCGCAAAAAAAGACCAAATACCAAATTGTAAAAACCTTACAGCGTTGAAACGTACTCGCTCTGACGTCACCAAGGGCTGTGCATTTGTTTCGTCTCTAAAGGCGTTGCTATGGCCGTTGCTATGGGCGTTGCTATGGGGTTATTTCGATTTGGGGGATCAGACAAAAAAAAACTGATTTTGAAACCTTTAGTAGTTCTCTTTTAATATAAAATGGTATTAAAACTGTATTTCTAAATCAATCAAACCCTGCATAAGGTTTTTAAAGACTTAAAGGACTCATGAGATTACTGAATCTTATTGATAGATAATGTGACGTCATACGTTATCAGTTGGGATTTATTCCCTGTGCCCCTAAATATAGCTATTATCAATTATTGTATTTACTACATGATTGTTTTTGATCCAATTCTCCGATATCAATTAAATAACTTAAGTTATGTATGATATGGACTTTTCTCACCCTACATTACTACAGACAGTAATGTGCTGCAGTACGTGTGTTTGTACTTTATGTCAAACGACTCGGGCACATGTGAGTCCAACAACCCATGAAAAGCACTAGCATACAGCGCCGCAACACGGAGTTGGGTGCATTCACAGACGGTGGAAACCGTGGGAATTTTTAGTTTTCGGCGGAGAAGAATACAGGAGGGAGGAACTTTCTCTTGTTTCGTTTCAAAAGAGAAAACTGGTGCACACTGGGGTTGTCTTGCACAGTTTTTTCAATGTGGTTTTACTGTAAATGGCAAATAAATGAATCTGAATCTGAGATTGTTCATTTACAGTGATGTTTGCCGTTCATGACACATAATGTGAACTAATTCACACGTTCATTTACAGTGATGTCTGCCGTTCATGACACATAATGTGAACTAATTCACGTTCAAGTTCTTCCTTAAAAAATGTGTTGCGTTCAGTTCAACGTTCACTAAAAAATAAGCGTGTTCAATGAAGGCGTTCTTTTGAAGTCGTTCACGCACAACACTGCCAATGGAACACTTCATCTTCTGTTTCATGTAAAAGAAGTGAAATACATAAAGCCATAAATGATAAGAACAGAGTCCAAGTGCTGGACCTGATGGACGAGAGGCCGAAATGATCAAATCTGCTGCTAAGTCTGGACTCACTTCCACTGATCCAAAAGAATGGTCTGATTTGGGTGAGATCTGGGCCCATTACCGATGTGTGGTGAGTGTTCAGAGCCTGAGAGCCAGAAATGTGTGTGTCTCTAGTAAACACATGTTGTGTTGCTACAGACACAGAGAGTTCTACGTCATGGTGCTACGTCCCTTAGGACTTCGCTAGTGGGATATCACTCGTGACCCCCAGGTCACACGCCAGAGAGATCAAAATAATTTGCTCCAATCACCAGCCACCCTTCTCTATAAATGCCCCTGCACAAGGCCGCACCCCCTCTTTCACTCTGGCGCCGTTTGAGATCTACCACAGTACTTACTTCATTCTGAGATGTCTTCCTTGTTTGTCCGAGTTCCCTTCGCCCTCCGGCGTCGGACGTCGTCGCTGGATCCAGACGGTGGAGGACTTCACCTCTGTGGGTGCCACCACTCGAGGAAGGAGGAGGATGCAACCCACGTTGTGCCCGCGGATGGACCCGTTCGTCCATTACGCGACACGTGAGTGGCCTAAGCCCCTAGCAGCCAAGAGGCCTGCTCTGGGGTACGACATGTACTGCAGCGGGCAGGACTGGTCCTGGACCGGTGGTGTCCCGGACATCGAGGATTCAGTCCGCATGGCCCTGCAGCCCTCCGCATCCGTGTGGCCCGGCACCAGACCTCTCCTTCCCTCCGAGCGGGACAGGATGTCTTGGCGATGCTGGATAGATGTTATGCCAATGCAGCACAGGTCCTCGCTTGACTAACAACATGGCATTCATCACGGGGGCCCTGGATATGTCGCTCTCTTCTGGCCAGGCGCTCAGTGGAGACCTCCTGTCACAGGCGAGGACCACCTCGGCGGCGACTCTGCGCATGTGCCATACGCTAGCTGTGGATGGTGGCCGCTCCATGGCAGCAGCCCAAGTCGGGGCCAGGCACCTTTGGCTTGGGCTGGCTAATATCAGGGAGGCGGAGAGGAGGCAGCTGCTGGACCTGCCTATCTCCCAGACGTCCCTTTTCGGTCCGGACATGCAGACCCTGGTGGCTAGACTGGAGACCGCAGCCAAGGACTTGGCTAGCCTAGCCCAGCACCTAGCGCCGAGACGCGAGGCCCGCCCACCAGCGCGGAGCCGAGACAGAGGCAGGGAGCGTTCGCCCGGGAGGCGCCCTGGCCCATATCCACGCTCCATGACCTATGGTCCCCCCTCGACGAGGCCCCCGGGTCCAGACAGACACACGGGAGGCTCGCGGGTCCAACGCACCCACCGCCGACCTCCCTATGGCAGAGGAGGTCGGGGTGGGAAGAATTCTTTCAATAAAAGCCGACCGGCATTTCATCAGTACTCGCTGTCTGAGTCTCATTTGGGGGTATGTAACATGTCAAATGATCTGAATTCTGATTGTGTTACTTATCGAGCACATAACGTGGCTTCGCTAGGCCTGCGGCCCCCAGAGAAGGGTGTGCAGTGCGCTACGCGAGCCACGAGCTCCGATTCACTGGTTCATGCTATGCCCTCCCAGAGAGAGGTCAGGCGGAGGGATCTGGTGAGTAATGATGTGTGTGCTTTGGCCGATCGCGTGTTAGCATCTCTGAGCTACAAGGCTAACACGGGGTGTCCCACTCCAGGGGCTCGCCCCCCCCTCCATGAGGCAAGAGCCAGGGGGGGGCACAGCAGCCGAGTCACGTGTGGTGAGCAGTCCCGTACTTATGACGTCGGGCCTGCAGAACACGTGACCGCCCCCGGCGCTCACGGTGTGACGCAGGGGGCCCCCCGGCCCTTTCGGCCACCCCCCCTCCTTGCTAGGAACACCAGGAGAGGGCGGGGCCGTGACGTCTCGTGTTCCAGCTCCCGTTCCGCCCCTCACAGACTTCTACAGCATCTGGAGGGAGCAGGGTTTGCTGACAGATATTTGGCTGGAGAAAACTTTGCGCAGGGGTTACGCACTGCAATTCTTCCGAAAGCCACCACCATTCCGAGGCGTACGGGCAGTACGCTCTCAGGTACGGGGATCAATAGAGGCACTGCAAGCGGAGGTCTCCTCTCTGCTGAGTCGAGGCGCAGCAGTGGAGGTAGACCCGCAGGACGCCACCAGGGGGCTGTACTCCCCTCACTTCTTAGTGCCAAAGAAGTCAGGCGGGGTGCGTCCCATTCTGGATCTGCGCGTGTTAAACGAGTGCATTTCCAAACGGCAGTTTCGGATGCTGTCCACAAAGCAGCTCCTCGAGTGTGTCAGGGAGGGAGACTGGATGACATCCATAGACCTGACAGATGCGTACTTCCACGTACCCATAGTGCCAGAACACAGGAGGTTTCTGCGCTTCGCAGTGGGAGAGAGGAATTACGAGTACTGCCGTCTTCCCTCGGTTATGCACTCGCGCCTCGGACTTTTTCCAAATGCGTGGAAGCGACACTGGAGCCGCTCAGACGCGCAGGGGTAAGAATTTTAACCTACATAGACGACTGGTTAATTCTGGCATCATCCAGGGAAGTGGCCGTGAGTCACACGCACTGGGTCCTGTCCCACATACAGCGCCTGGGCTTTGTGGTGAACAGGGAGAAAATTAATAGTTACCTAATGTAACTTAAGTTCTACAAATAGGTGCACGTGTTATCCCACTAGCGAAGTCCGCTAAGGGACGTAGCACCATGACGTAGAAGCAGGCTGCAATGATCTATCTCGGCATGCAGCTAGACTCTGTGACATTCCGTGCTGCATTGTCCGTGGACAGACGGATGGACACTACCCGTCTGCCCAGGGAGGTTCTGGCGGGCCCCAGAGTCCCCGCTCGGCGCCTCAGGTCCCTGCTGGGAATGATGGCGGCGGCTCATGCTGTGGTGCGGCTAGGCCTTCTCCACATGAGGAATTTTCAGAGGGGGTTCTCACGCATCAGGCTTCACCCCTCCCGGGACGGGGGGAGGCTGATCTGGGTTCCCCAAGTGGCAGCATCGGACATCAGGTTCTGGCTCACTCCGGGTCTATTGCGGGACGGAGTGACTCTGGCCTGCGCCGTGTCTCACGTGGAGGTGTTCACGGACGCGTCGCTCGAAGGATGGGGCGGGGTCCTCGGCCAGAGCTCTGTAGGAGGCTGCTGGTTGGACTCAACCCGTCACATCAACCTGCTGGAGATGGAGGCAGTGCACAGAGTACTGCTGCACTTTGCTCCTCAGCTGCAGGGGAGACACGTGATGGTGCGCTCAGACAACACCACAGTGGTCTCCTATCTGAACAGGCAGGGGGGCACCAGGTCCCCCGCTCTCCATCGCATGGCGACGGTGACGCTGCTGTGGGCGGCGCTTCACCTCCTGTCTCTCAGGGCGCGCCACGTCCCGGGGGTCCGGAACGTGGGGGCCGACAGGATGTCCAGGGGGGGCCCACTCCAGGACGAGTGGGGCCTGGCCCCGCGGGTAGCTGCGGAGATCTGGCGGAGGTTCGGCCGTCCAGTGGTCGACCTTTTTCGCCAGTGCAGAGAACGCACAGTGCCCGTCCTGGTTCGCCTCAAGGGCCGCGGACGAGCCACCCTTAGGCGTGGACGCTCTGGCTCATTACCCCTGGCCAGGGGGCCTGCTGTACGCTTTCCCACCGGTGCGTCTCCTGCCGGTCCTGCTGCGGAGGATCGAACAGGAGAGGAGGTCTGTGATCCTGGTGGCTCCGGACAGTCCGCATGCCCGGTGGTTCCCCTTCCTGAGGGGCATGGCGGTGATGGAGCCCTGGGCCCTCCCGGACGAGCCGGGGGCTCTAGTCCAGGGGGGAGGAGCCCTGTTTTCCCGCCCGATAATCGGCCGCAGGCTCTGGGTTTGGAGGCTGAGAGGCGGAACCTCGTAGACCTGGGTCTTCCCCCTGCGGTGGTGGAGACCATTCAGGGGGCGAGGGCGCCGCCCACTGTGAGGGCCTACGCCACGAGGTGGAGGCTCTTCAGTGTCTGGTGCGGTTCCCGTTCCTGGGATCCCAGGCGTTGCCCGCTGAAGGGGGTCCTGGGATTCCTACAGGAGCTCTTTGACAAGGGGAGGGCTGTCGCCACCTTGGCGGTGTTCGCGGCAGCCATTACTTCGGGTCACAACGGATTCGGGGGGTTCACAGCCCGCTCTCATCCGTTGGTTAAACGTTTTCTGCGGGGGGCGCGCAGGAGGAGGCCCCCGCTCCAGAGGACGCCCCCGGTTTGGGACCTCAGGGTGGTCCTTAGGGGGCTGTCGGGTCCGCCTTTTGAACCGGCGGCGGAAGCGAGTCCCGAGTGTGTCGCTTTTAAGACGGCCCTCTTGTTGGCGTTGGCGTCTGCTAAGAGGGCGGGCGACTTGTGTGCGCTCTCTGTCCATGCGTCTTGCCTGTCCTTTGGAGAGGGCGACGGCATGGTGGAATTGTGGCCCAATCCGGCTTTTCTCCCCAAGGTCATCACGTCGGCCTTTAGGTCGAGAGTCATCAGGATTAGGGCTTTCTATCCGCCACCGCATGCCTCCCCCGAGGAGGAGCGGCGGCACCTTCTGTGTCCTGTCAGAATGCTGAGGCATTACCTGGCCATGACCTCGTCATTCAGGTTGGGTGGTCAGCTGTTTTTGTGTGTCTGGGCCCCAAGAACAGGGGCGCCCCGCTGTCGGCTCAGCGCCTGGCGCACTGGGTCGCCACGGCTGTGCGGCGGGCGTATCAGTCGCAGGGTCTGGCCCCCCCGGTGGGCTTCAGGTCGCATTCCACGCGTGGGATGGCGGCCTCTACGGCCCTTCTCAGGGGGGGCGTCGGTCGAGGACGTCTGCCGTACGGCTTCTTGGGCGTCGTCCTCCTCTTTCGTCCGGTCTTATCTTTTGGATATGTCGGACCGGTCGGTGGCCCATTCCGTGCTGAGTGCAGCGGACTGAGTTAGACCGTTAGGTCCCTCCTCTGAGGTGGCCTTCGGTTTCTTTCCGCCCTGGTTCAGGAGCTCTTGGGAGAGGCATCCTACAGGTGCGGTACATATATGTGTGTTTGGTAGGTCTGGTAGTCCACGTCAGGAGCTCTTGGGAGAGGCGTCCTGGGACTACGGATGACCTACGATCTGTGTTACGTGGGGGCATCCTTGGTAGGAGTGGCCCTGTAACACGCTTGTTTTCTTCTGCCCTGAGTCCTCTCACGGTGTGAGGGTCTTGCTCGGGCGGAGCTCCAATCACCCTTCGCTGGCCTGCTGGGAGTACATGTTCCTACGGCCTCCGCGTTGGGTCCCACTAGCAAAGTCCTAAGGGACGTAGCACCATGACGTAGAATTAATAGTTACCTAATGTAACTTAAGTTCTACGAATAGGTGCGTAGTCCCTTAGCTACGAGCCCATTAGGCCAGCCCGGCTTGGCAGAGTTCAAGAGGGGGTGCGGCCTTGTGCAGGGGCATTTATAGAGGAAGGTGGCTGGTGATTGGAGCAAATTATTTTGATCTCTCTGGCGTGTGACCTGGGGGTCACGAGTGATATCCCACTAGCGAAGTCCTAAGGGACTACGCACCTATTCGTAGAACTTAAGTTACATTAGGTAACTATTAATTCTTACTGCTCTGCAGGCGCTGGACCAGCTCATCCTGCTTCATCCTCCTCAGGAAGTCCAGGGCGATGTTCAGAACCTCTCTGCTCTGCACCTCACTTTCAGAGCATTCTGGGTAATCTGAGGCCAGGAGCCTTTGGATCCTCTGCAGCTGCTCTTTGACAAAAGTCACCACGTCCTCCTGCAGACGCTGGAACATAACAATAAGAGTTCACAGAGAGACGCTGAGGAGCAGCCAGAGAAGGCCACACAAGCTGCGGTGGTGGACACTCACCCTCAAGATGGCGTCCAGCGGCTCCTTTGGACCTGGATCCCTGTGAAACACACTCAGCATTTATTTAGTTTGCACAATAGAAGAACACAGACTCAAACAGGAGAGAAAAGAACTGTTTCTATAAAGAGCTTCTACACAGCACTAAACCTGGGACTCCCCAGCACCAGAGACACCACACTGCAAAAAGTCAATTCTCAGCAAGTAAAAAAATCTTGAAATAAGAAAAAATAACTTGTTTTTTGTATAAAAAGAAAAAAAATCTTGTCTAGCAAAATTTCCTTAAGAATAAAATTCTTATTTTAAGAAATTAATTCTAGCTTTTTCTTATTAAGAAAAATGTGATTAAAAAAGTAATATTTGGACCCAAAACAAGCAACAATTACTTAGTTAGGCTCCTCTTTCTTGGTTCAAGAAAAAATAAGAAAAAAAGAAATCTTAAAATAAGAAAAAAGATCTTTTCCATTGAATTCAATGTAGTTTCACTTCATTGTATTCGTGAATCGTCCAGAACCACAGCAGCAGTTGCCGAGAAGGATTTAACTCAATAGTCATCATAACTTTTTCTTACTAAATAAACACAATATGTTCATGTTCACAACAAGTTGTTATAGTTCAATCCAATAATTATGACGTTACACAAACCAGATTACATCATGTTAATCCCACATCTTCACATGGTGTCAAGTCCACACAATTAATTATTGCTATAGAAACGCATTTGTTTTGGGTAGAAATTATGTCCATAATTTTATTACATTCATTTAACAAATAATTTGTTTGAGTTTAGAATTTACACGTCAAACAGGAAATGCAAAAATAACAAACGCATGGAGCCGTATAAGGAGCAGGACGACCACTGTCCAGAAATGTTCATAAATGTCCTTATATGGACATAAATGTCCCTCCTGCATCAGAGGAACCACAGAAACCCACCTGTGACACTGATGTAACCCAGGTTAACAGTGTGACCGTCAAAGTAAAAGCATGTTAATAAAACATCAATAACTACAATGGATAAAAGGTCAATAAATATGTCAATATGGTTAAATGGTCATTAAAAACGTCTATAATATATTAATCTATTCATTAGTATCCTCAAATAGCAAAAAAAAAATGCAAATTCATGGTTGTTTTGGTTTTAAAAAATGTCTTTGGACTTTTATTTTGAAAGACACATAGTTGCATGTCCCATGTGTGACCCATGTGACTAGCAACAGCCAATCAGATTTGTTCTAGAACTGACAAAAAGCAGACGCGGGCAGAAGGAGAGAAGGAGACAAGAAAAATAAGAGTTTCAAGATATTTTTGAGTTAAAAGTAGTTAAAACTGATTTTTGCAAAGAGATACGTGAGTCTGGAGTTGTAGAAAGATATTTTTGGTTTTGAAAGAAAGTTAAAGAAGAGTTTTTTTGTTTTTTTCACCTTGTCCTTGTGCTGTGGAGGATCGGGACTTAAGTCTCATAGCACCAGCCCCTCACTGACCCTCTGCAGGTGGTGAGTCCACAGGAGGACGGCTGCTCTGAGTGTGAGCATAGCCTTGATCTTTCAGTGGGGGCTTTTGGGCAAAGTGGGGTTAAGTGTCTTGCCCAAGGACACAACGACAGCAGTCATCAGTGGGAGTCGGTGGAAAATACATGTATTTAGTTTTAATGTAAATCTGTGCAATGTGATAATCTTTTTTTGTAAATGTGAAGCTTAAGTGCTGATATTTGTTATTTGAGATTATTTTGTGGTAAAATATGAGGACACAATCCAAATGTTAGCTAAGGCTAACCCAAGTGAGCACATGTTCACTGTCTGGACTGGACTATTATATTAACTGGATAGGGTATTACTAGCTTGTAGCTGAATAACTCATGTGCTCGGGGGATTCTCGCGGTACTGCAGACTGAACCAGACTGAACCAGACTAAATTCACGTGGGCTACCCAGACATTTTCCCCATAGAACTCAATGCATATTAAAACAGCTCAACCTCAGCTGACAGAGAACCTACAGCTTTAATAAAGATCGGATTTTGTGGGGATGTTAGTGTCCCTTGTCATCCTGAACTTTTTTTCTTCTTAAATCCTTCGGTTTTGTTTAAATCCACACTTTAGTGCCACAAACTCTGCTCCTCTGGCTCTCGCTCTAACTCCCGCTCTGATGAACTGCTCTGATTGGTCAGAGCGCGGCCGAGCCCCTCTGTGATTCAAGATGGCGGCCTATTCAAATGAATGGTTGTGCTCAGTGGCGCTTTGTGACGGCATGGGGGCTGAAAGATTAGCGGAAGTCGCCTGGAACTCGCAAAGATCTTTAGGAAACTCGCCTGTATTTGGGCATCGTCTGGTCCTCCCGGTTCTGTGCAGTGGATGATCTCCCATAATGCATTGCGTCAAACACGCGTGTGTGGGTCTCACACACGTGCACAGAGGGGCTCGGCCGCGCTCTGACCAATCAGAGCAGTTCATCAGAGCGGGAGTTAGAGCCAGAGCCAGAGGAGCAGAGTTTGTGGCACTAAAGTGTGGATTTAAACAAAACCGAAGGATTTAAGAAGAAAAAAAGTTCAGGATGACAAGGGACACTAACATCCCCACAAAATCTGACCTTTATGAAAGCTGTAGGTTCTCTGTCAGGTTCTCTGTCAGCTGAGGTCGAGCTGTTTTAATATGCATTGAGTTCTATGGGGAAAATTTCTGGGTAGCCCACGTGAATTTAGTCTGGTTCAGTCTGGTTCAGTCTGCAGTACCGCGAGAATCCCCCGAGCACATGAGTTATTCAGCTACAAGCTAGTAATACCCTATCCAGTTAATATAATAGATCCATGACTAGTGCTGATAGCAGGCATTTTGAGACAGAGAGCAGACTTTTATTTATTTTAGAGCTACCTGACCATTTATTATATGTATTTATGCACATTTATGTTTATGGGCCGTTCAGAGTGGGTTGGAGAAATAGTCCACTTTATATCATCTCTGAGCATGAGGTTGAAACAAGATGGCGAGCCTTCCCTGGACCTTCTGATCTACATCCATCTGAGAGTTAGCGCCCTCTGTTGGACTGAACACGTACTCCTTCTGAACTGGTAGGATTTACCCAAACTTCTGCAAAGCAGCAGTGGACTCGAGAACATTGAACTGCTGATTCAAAGAAAGTAAATCAGAGTCTGAAGAAAAAGGACACTGTTTTTATTTTAATACTGTGGTATACAGCTTTATTCAGTCTTTTGCTGAATCATTTTTAGTTAATATTTTGTATTTTATTTTGAAGGATTATCACTGAATTGTATCCACTTTTCTTTGAATGGTGAAACAAACATTTTGAAGGGTAACTACAAAACTTGAACTTAAAGGTGAACTTCACTAGATTGAACTAAACTGAGTCAAATCAATCGAACTAAATATCAACTGAGAACTGAAAGAGAATTTAAAGTAAAATAAAAAGTTGCAACCTGATTCTAAACTGATATTAAAGACTAAACCAAGGTTAAATCAAAGCAAGGATTTAATTAGAAGGGTTAAGTGTGGTAAATTTAATGTTATTTGTTTGTCCATTGTCTTTCGTCTATTTTCAATAATAAGCCGCCAATTTACACATATTCCTGGTCTGTGGTCTCTTTATTATCCTTCCATGTGTAACCTGTCCTTCACATTTGTGTTCACGTCTTTGATCAAAACATATGTACTGCTTATATTATTTTGCTTATTAAGCCAATTTTGCTTAAAACCAGGCTACAACTAGAAAAAGACTGCAAAAAGAGCATAAAACAAGCAAATGTATCCTTAATCAAACATTTATTTAAGCATTATTTCCTTAAATTATCCAATAAAAAGAATATTTTGCTTAAATTTGACCTTTTTATGGAGAGAAAATTAAGTTAGGATACAATATATAACCTTTATCATCTTAAATACACCTTTAAAGTCTGTTTTTACTCTGTTCATTCATTCTACAGTCTGTTCCTGCTCTGGTTCAAGAGAAGGGAATAACTCTATATTTAAACATAACATTAAATCTTTCTTTAGTTTCATAAAGAAACAAAGTGTAAAATACTGTATACTATATATATATATATATATATATATAATATATATATATATATATATATATATATATATATATAGTATACAGTATTATATACACAGTAGAAAGAATGATAGAGTAGTTAGTCCTGGTTCAGTCCTGCCTCAGTCCTGCATGGTTCAGACCTGGTTCAGACCTGGTCCAGACCTGGTCCAGACTTGGTCTCTGTATATAGTTGGTGATAATAATATTATATAAATATAAATCTTGGTTAAAACTAAACTCGTCAGCGGCGGCTCCAGTCGCTCTGACAAGACGTGAGCGGTCTGACCGGTCTGACCGGTCTGTCCGGTCTAATCGAGACCAACCGAACCAAAACAAAGCTAAGCAAATCAAACCAGAGCAAAGCAAAGCTAAGGAGGAGGGGCCGTGGCAGGAGGTAGGATGGGACCAGGATGAGCAACAGGAATGTGAGGCATGAGCCGGAGCTTTAAAGGCTCTGTCTGTGACCAAGGAGAGGAGAGGCTATAACAACGTTCAGACCTGGTTCAGACCTGGTTCAGACCTGGTTCAGACCTGGTTCAGACCTGGTTCAGACCTGGTTCAGACCTGGTTCAGACCTGGTTCAGACCTGGTTCAGACCTGGTTCAGACCTGGTTCAGACCTGGTTCAGACCTGGTTCAGACCTGGTTCAGACCTGGTTCAGACCTGGTTCAGACCTGGTTCAGACCTGGTACAGACCTGGTACAGACCTGGTACAGACCTGGTAAAGACCTGGTTCCGACCTGGTTCAGACTTGGTTCAGACCTTGTTCAGACTTGGTTCAGACCTGGTACAGACCTGGTAAAGACCTGGTTCAGACTTGGTTCAGACCTGGTACAGACCTGGTAAAGACCTGGTTCAGACCTGGTACAGACCTGGTACAGACCTGGTTCAGACCTGGTTCAGACTTGGTTCAGACCTTGTTCAGACCTTGTTCAGACCTGGTTCAGACCTGGTTCAGATCTGGTACAGACCTGGTAAAGACCTGGTTCAGACCTGGTACAGACCTGGTACAGACCTGGTTCAGACCTGGTTCAGACTTGGTTCAGAACTGGTTCAGCCCTGGTTCAGCCCTGGTTCAGACTTGGTTCATACTTGGTTCAGACCTGGTTCAGACCTGGTTCAGACCTGGTTCAGACCTGGTTCAGACCTGGTTCAGACCTAGTTCAGATCAATTCCAGACCTGGTTCAGACCTGGTTCAGACCTGGTTCAGACCTGGTTCAGACTTGGTTCATACTTGGTTCAGACCTGGTTCAGACCTGGTTCAGACCTGGTTCAGACCTAGTTCAGATCAATTTCAGACCTGGTTCAGACCTGGTTCAGACCTGGTTCAGACCTGGTTCAGACCTGGTTCAGACCTGGTTCAGACCTTGTTCAGACCTGGTTCAGACCTGGTTCAGACCTGGTTCAGACCTGGTTCAGACTTGGTTCAGACCTGGTTCAGACTTGGTTCAGACCTGGTTCAGACCTGGTTCAGACCTGGTTCAGACCTGGTTCTTCCAATGAACACGATCACATCCAAGTGTTTGTTATGTTTCTGTGTTCTTTTTGAGATTTGTATTTATTTTAATATTTTGGGACAAAGCTCCTTAAATAAGCTTGACCCCATCCCGCTGCCCTGATAAAAACCTGCATCCCCACATTCACACCATTCATCAGCACCGTCATAAACTCCTCCCTCAGCTCTGGTATTGTTCCTCCCACACTAAAACTCTCCACCATCACACCCCTCCTGAAAAAACCTGGCCTGGAACCCGTCAATCTAGACAACTTCAGACCCATCTCCAACCTCCAGAAACACTAGAACGTTCCGTCATCGTGCAATATGGAATCAATTGTTTATTATTTGAAACCTTCCAATCTGGTTTTCAGCCACAGCATAACACAAAAACAGCCCTCCTAAAAGTCATCAATGATCTCCTCGCTCCAGAGACCACAGCAGCCCCGTCCTCACACAGCTCCACTGGCTTCTTTTACACCTCCAATACATGGTTCTCCTCCTCCCCTACAAGTCCCTCCATAACCTGCTCCTTCTTACCTCCCTGACCTCCTCCATCACTGACCTCCTCCATCACTGACCTCCTCCTCCATCACTGACCTCCTCCTCCATCACTGACCTCCTCCATCACTGACCTCCTCCATCACTGACCTCCTCCTCCATCACTGACCTCCTCCTCCATCACTGACCTCCTCCTTCACTGACCTCCTCCATCACTGACCTCCTCCTCCATCACTGACCTCCTCCTCCATCACTGACCTCCTCCATCACTGACCTCCTCCTCCATCACTGACCTCCTCCTCCATCACTGACCTCCTCCTTCACTGACCTCCTCCTTCACTGACCTCCTCCATCACTGACCTCCTCCTTCACTGACCTCCTCCTTCACTGACCTCCTCCTTCACTGACCTCCTCCTCCTTCACTGACCTCCTCCATCATCACTGACCTCCTCCATCATCACTGACCTCCTCCTTCACTGACCTCCTCCTTCACTGACCTCCTCCTTCACTGACCTCCTCCTTCACTGACCTCCTCCTCCATCACTGACCTCCTCCATCACTGACCTCCTCCATCACTGACCTCCTCCATCTTCACTGACCTCCTCCTCCATCACTGACCTCCTCCATCACTGACCTCCTCATCACTGACCTCCTCCATCTTCACTGACCTCCTCCTTCACTGGACCTCCTCCATCACTGACCTCCTCCATCTTCACTGACCTCCTCCATCACTGACCTCCTCCTTCACTGACCTCCTCCTCCATCACTGACCTCCTCCTCCATCACTGACCTCCTCCTCCATCACTGACCTCCTCCTCCATCACTGACCTCCTCCATCATCACTGACCTCCTCCATCACTGACCTCCTCCATCACTGACCTCCTCCATCATCACTGACCTCCTCCTTCACTGACCTCCTCCTCCATCACTGACCTCCTCCTCCATCACTGACCTCCTCCTCCATCACTGACCTCCTCCTCCATCACTGACCTCCTCCATCATCACTGACCTCCTCCATCACTGACCTCCTCCATCACTGACCTCCTCCATCTTCACTGACCTCCTCCATCACTGACCTCCTCCTTCACTGACCTCCTCCTCCATCACTGACCTCCACCTCCTCCTCCTCACACTGACCTCCTCCTCATCACTGACCTCCTCCTCATCACTGACCTCCTCCATCACTGACCTCCTCCATCACTGACCTCCTCCTCCATCATGACCTCCTCCTCCATCACTGACCTCCTCTCCATCACTGACCTCCTCCATCTCACTGACCTCCTCCATCACTGACCTCCTCCTCATCACTGACCTCCTCCATCATCACCTCCTCCTCACACTGACCTCCTCCTCATCACTGACCTCCTCCATCATCACTGACCTCCTCCTTCACTGACCTCCTCCATCACACTGACCTCCTCCTCATCACTGACCTCCTCCATCACTGACCTCCTCATCACTGACCTGACCTCCTCTTCACTGACCTCCTCCATCACTGACCTCCTCCATCACTGACCTCCTCCATCACTGACCTCCTCCATCATCACTGACCTCCTCCACACTGACCTCCTCCATCACTGACCTCCATCCTGACCTCCTCATCACTGACCTCCTCCTCCTTCACTGACCTCCTCCTTCACTGACCTCCTCCATCACTGACCTCCTCCTCACTACCTCACTCACTGACCTCCTCCTCACTGACCTCCTCATCACTGACCTCCTCCTCACTGACCTCCTCCTCCTTCACTGACCTCCTCCTTCACTGACCTCCTCCATCACTGACCTCCTCCTTCACTGACCTCCTCCATCACTGACCTCCTCCTTTCACTGACCTCCTCCTTCACTGACCTCCTCCTCCTCATCACTGACCTCCTCCTCTCACTGACCTCCTCCTCATCACTGACCTCCTCCTCACTGACCTCCCCTGCATCACTGACCTCCTCCTTCACTGACCTCCTCCTCCATCACTGACCTCCTCCTTCACTGACCTCCTCCATCACTGACCTCCTCCATCACTGACCTCCTCCATCACTGACCTCCTCCTCCTTCACTGACCTCCTCCTCATCACTGACCTCCTCCTCACTGACCTCCTCCATCACTGACCTCCTCCTTCACTGACCTCCTCCTTCACTGACCTCCTCCTCATCACTGACCTCCTCCTCCATCACTGACCTCCTCCTTCACTGACCTCCTCCTCTCACTGACCTCCTCCTCACTGACCTCCTCCATCACTGACCTCCTCCTTCACTGACCTCCTCCTCACTGACCTCCTCCTCCATCACTGACCTCCTCCTTCACTGACCTCCTCCATCACTGACCTCCTCCATCATCACTGACCTCCTCCATCACTGACCTCCTCCTCACTGACCTCTCACACTGACCTCCTCCTTCACTGACCTCCTCCATTCACTGACCTCCTCCTTCACTGACCTCCTCCATCACTGACCTCCTCCTTCACTGACCTCCTCCATCACTGACCTCCTCCCTCACTGACTCCTCCTTCACTGACCTCCTCCATCACTGACCTCCTCCTCACTGACCTCCTCCTCATCACTGACCTCCTCCTCATCACTGACCTCCTCCTCACTGACCTCCTCCTTCACTGACCTCCTCCTCACTGACCTCCTCCTCACTGACCTCCTCCATCACTGACCTCTCCCACTGACCTCCTCCATCACTGACCTCCTCTCATCACTGACCTCCTCCTCACTCACCTCCTCCTCACTGACCTCCTCCTCATCTGACCTCCTCCTTCACTGACCTCCTCCTCATGACCTCCTCCTCACTGACCTCCTCCATCACTGACCTCCTCCATCACTGACCTCCTCCATCACTGACCTCCTCCTCATCACTGACCTCCTCCTTCACTGACCTCCTCCATCACTGACCCTCCTCACTGACCTCCTCCATCACTGACCTCCTCCTCATGACCTCCTCCTCACTGACCTCCTCCTCATGACCTCCTCCTTCACTGACCTCCTCCTCACTACCCCTCATCACTGACCTCCTCCTCACTGACCTCCTCCATCACTGACCTCCTCCTCCTTCACTACTCCTCGACCTCCTCCATCACTGACCTCCTCCTCCACTGACCTCCTCCATCACTGACCTCCACTGACCTCCTCCTTCACTGACCTCCTCCTCAATCCTGACCTCCTCCATCACTGACCTCCTCCTTCACTGACCTCCTCCTCACTGACCTCCTCCTTCACTGACCTCCTCCTTCACTGACCTCCTCCTCCTTCACTGACCTCCTCCTTCACTGACCTCCTCACTGACCTCCTCCATCACTGACCTCCTCCATAACTGACCTCCTCCTCCATAACTGACCTCCTCCTCCATCACTGACCTCCTCCATCACTGACCTCCTCCATCACTGACCTGACCTCCTCCATCATCACTGACCTCCTCCTCCATCACTGACCTCCTCCATCACTGACCTCCTCCATCATCACTGACCTCCTCCTTCACTGACCTCCTCCTCCTTCACTGACCTCCTCCTTCACTGACCTCCTCCATCACTGACCTCCTCCATCATCACTGACCTCCTCCTTCACTGACCTCCTCCATCACTGACCTCCTCCTTCACTGACCTCCTCCATCATCACTGACCTCCTCCTCCTTCACTGACCTCCTCCTTCACTGACCTCCTCCATCACTGACCTCCTCCTTCACTGACCTCCTCCATCACTGCCCTCCTCCTTCACTGACCTCCTCCATCATCACTGACCTCCTCCTCCATCACTGACCTCCTCCATCACTGACCTCCTCCATCATCACTGACCTCCTCCATCATCACTGACCTCCTCCTTCACTGACCTCCTCCATCACTGACCTCCTCCATCACTGACCTCCTCCTTCACTGACCTCCTCCTCCATCACTGACCTCCTCCTTCACTCACCGCCTCCATCACTAACCTCCTCCATCATCACTGACCTCCTCCATCACTGACCTCCTCCTCCTTCACAGACCTCCTCCATCACTGACCTCCTCCATAATCACTGACCTCCTCCATCACTGACCTCCTGCTTCACTGACCTCCTCCATCACTGACCTCCTCCTTCACTGACCTCCTCCATCACTGACCTCCTCCTTCACTGACCTCCTCCTCCTTCACTGACCTCTTCCATCACTGACCTCCTCCTTCACTGACCTCCTCCTCCTTCACTGACCTCCTCCTTCACTGACCTCCTCCATCACTGACCTCCTCCATCACTGACCTCCTCCTTCACTGACCTCCTCCTTCACTGACCTCCTCCATCACTGACCTCCTCCATCACTGACCTCCTCCATAACTGACCTCCTCCTCCATAACTGACCTCCTCCTCCATCACTGACCTCCTCCATCACTGACCTCCTCCATCACTGACCTCCTCCTTCACTGACCTCCTCCATCACTGACCTCCTCCTTCACTGACCTCCTCCATCATCACTGACCTCCTCCTCCATCACTGACCTCCTCCATCATCACTGACCTCCTCCATCATCACTGACCTCCTCCTTCACTGACCTCCTCCATCACTGACCTCCTCCATTCACTGACCTCCTCCATCACTGACCTCCTCCTTCACTGACCTCCTCCTTCACTGACCTCCTCCTCCATCACTGACCTCCTCCTTCACTCACCTCCTCCATCACTGACCTCCTCCATCATCACTGACCTCTTCCATCACTGACCTCCTCCTCCTTCACTGACCTCCTCCTCCTTCACTGACCTCCTCCATCACTGACCTCCTCCTTCACTGACCTCCTCCATCACTGACCTCCTCCTTCACTGACCTCCTCCTCCTTCACTGACCTCCTCCTTCACTGACCTCCTCCATCACTGACCTCCTCCATCACTGACCTCCTCCTTCACTGACCTCCTCCATCACTGACCTCCTCCATCACTGACCTCCTCCTTCACTGACTTCCTCCTTCACTGACCTCCTCCTTCACTAACCTCCTCCTCCTTCACTGACCTCCTCCTCCTTCACTGACCTCCTCCTTCACTGACCTCCTCCTTCACTGACCTCCTCCATCACTGACCTCCTCCTCCTCCTTCACTGACCTCCTCCTCCATCACTGACCTCCTCCTTTACTGACCTCCTCCTCCTTCACTGACCTCCTCCTCCATCACTGACCTCCTCCTCCATCACTGACCTCCTCCTTCACTGACCTCCTCCTTTACTGACCTCCTCCATCACTGACCTCCTCCATCACTGACCTCCTCCTCCTTCACTGACTTCCTCCTCCTTCACTGACCTCCTCCTTCACTGACCTCCTCCTCCTTCACTGACCTCTTCCATCACTGACCTCCTCCTCCTTCACTGACCTCCTCCTCCTTCACTGACCTCCTCCATCACTGACCTCCTCCTTCACTGACCTCCTCCATCACTGACCTCCTCCTTCACTGACCTCCTCCTCCTTCACTAACCTCCTCCTTCACTGACCTCCTCCATCACTGACCTCCTCCATCACTGACCTCCTCCTACACTGACCTCCTCCATCACTGACCTCCTCCATCACTGACCTCCTCCTTCACTGACTTCCTCCTTCACTGACCTCCTCCTTCACTAACCTCCTCCTCCTTCACTGACCTCCTCCTCCTTCACTGACCTCCTCCTTCACTGACCTCCTCCTTCACTGACCTCCTCCATCACTGACCTCCTCCTCCTCCTTCACTGACCTCCTCCTCCATCACTGACCTCCTCCTTCACTGACCTCCTCCTCCATCACTGACCTCCTCCTTTACTGACCTCCTCCTCCTTCACTGACCTCCTCCTCCATCACTGACCTCCTCCTCCATCACTGACCTCCTCCTTCACTGACCTCCTCCTTTACTGACCTCCTCCATCACTGACCTCCTCCATCACTGACCTCCTCCTCCTTCACTGACTTCCTCCTCCTTCACTGACCTCCTCCTTCACTGACCTCCTCCTCCTTCACTGACCTCCTCCTCCATCACTGACCTCCTCCTCCTTCACTGACCTCCTCCTCCTTCACTGACCTCCTCCTTCACTGACCTCCTCCTCCTTCACTGACCTCCTCCTCCTTCACTGACCTCCTCCTCCTTCACTGACCTCCTCCTTCACTGACCTCCTCCATCACTGACCTCCTCCATCACTGACCTCCTCCATCACTGACCTCCTCCTCCATCACTGACCTCCTCTTCCATCACTGACCTCCTCCTCCATCACTGACCTCCTCCTCCATCACTGACCTCCTCCTCCTTCACTGACCTCCTCCTCCATCACTGACCTCCTCCTCCATCACTGACCTCCTCCTCCTTCACTGACCTCCTCCTCCTTCACTGACCTCCTCCTCCATCACTGACCTCCTCCTCCATCACTGACCTCCTCCATCATCACTGACCTCCTCCTTCACTGACCTCCTCCTCCTTCACTGACCTCCTCCTTCACTGACCTCCTCCTCCTTCACTGACCTCCTCCTCCTTCACTGACCTCCTCCTTCACTGACCTCCTCCTTCACTGACCTCCTCCTCCATCACTGACCTCCTCCATCACTGACCTCCTTCACTGACCTCCTCCTCCTTCACTGACCTCCTCCTCCATCACTGACCTCCTCCTTCATCACTGACCTCCTCCTCCATCACTGACCTCCTCCTTCACTGACCTCCTCCTTCACTGACCTCCTCCATCATCACTGACCTCCTCCTTTACTGACCTCCTCCGCCATCACTGACCTCCTCCTCCATCACTGACCTCCTCCTCCATCACTGACCTCCTCCTCCATCACTGACCTCCTCCTTCACTGACCTCCTCCACCACTGACCTCCTCCATCATCACTGACCTCCTACATCTGCTCCTAGTGTCTTCAGTAGATTCTACATTCATGCTGTTTATTTACAAAGTGCCACAGAACCACAGTCTTTGATGAAGGACGAGACACAGAACTGTCTTAACAACATGGGTTCAAGTCTCACCTCTGATCTTCAGGACCATCTTCTCTGAAGTCTGGAGGAGGATCTTTGCACAGGTCCCTTTTCAGAGACACAGAGCTGGGAGCAGGTCCAGGTCTGGGGTTAGACCCTGGTCCAGATTCTCGTGGCTCCATGTGGTAGAGGCTGGAATCAGAACAAGAGTCCATGTGAAGACTTTTCTCCCACAGTTCCTGAAGTGTAGCGCCCCCTGTGGTCAGAGTCATGGTTGCTCTGGTGTTTAAACCATGTGGAGCCACAGGTGACGATGGTGTTGACACTGGTCACATATTGATGCTCTGCCAAACCATCTCTTCACCGCCTTTTTGTGCCTCAATGTAAAAAGTCCTTGTGGACAAAGAGAGAGGACAAACTACAAACATGTTGTGTTGGTCTGAGCGTCACAAACACTTTAGTCTGAAGCAGGTTTGTACAACGAGGACATTTTAGACATTTAAATGCACCAACAGCTCTCCTTCTGTTAGAGACCGTTCTGGATTCACTAAATAAAAGCTTGGTTTGACTGAAGCCTTTGTTTTGTGTTTGACAAAGTGTCTGTGTCTAATGTGTGTTATTTACTTGTGTCTTTTCCTTTACCTTTTCCCCTTGGCCCCGCCCACTTCCCCCTCCTCCAAGTGCCATGTACTCACCTCTTTCCTGCCTCACTTTTCTAAGCTCCTGTTGTTTTATTGTGCGCCTGATGAAAAGCGACTGAGGTGGAAACATGTGGCTTTGGCCGTTTGTGAATAAAGGCTTTTAAGAAAGACTTCCTGGTGCAGCTCACATGGTGTTTGATCAGGTTTAGGAATGTAGTGAGACGTCTTTACTTCCTGTTGGGACAGATCCAGACAGAGACAGTCCAACGACACTAAGATCTAAAGTTAGGATACAATATATGACCTTTATCATCTTAAATACACCTTTAAAGTCTTTTTTTACTCTGTTCATTCATTCTACAGTCTGTTCCTGCTCTGGTTCAAGAGAAGGGAATAACTCTATATTTAAACATAACATTAAATCTTTCTTTAGTTTCATTAACAAACAAAGTGTAAAATACTGTATACTCTGTATGTCTATATACAGTGCCTTGCGAAAGTATTCGGCCCCCTTGAAGCTTTCAACATTTCGCCCCATTTCAGGCTTCAAACATTAAGATATAAAATTTTAATTTTTTGTCATGAATCAACAACAAGTGGGACACAATCGTGAAGTGGAACGAAATTTATTGGACAATTTAAACTTTTTTAACAAATAAAAAACTGAAAAGTGGGGCATGCAATATTATTCGGCCCCTTTACTTTCAGTGCAGCAAACTCAGTCCAGAAGTTCAGTGAGGATCTTTGAATGATCCAATGTTGTCCTAAATGACTGATGATGATAAATAGAATGCACCTGTGTGTAATCAAGTCTCCGTATAAATGCACCTGCTCTTTGATAGTCTCAGGGTTCTGTTTAAAGCACAGAGAGAACCATGAAGACAAAGGAACACACCAGGCAGGTCCGAGATACTGTTGTGGAGAAGTTTAAAGCCGGATTTCGATACAAAAAGATTTCCCAAGCTTTAAACATCTCAAGGAGCACTGTGCAAGCAATTATATTGAAATGGAAGGAGTATCAGACCACTGCAAATCTACCAAGACCCGGCCGTCCCTCCAAACTTTCATCTCAAACAAGGAGAAGACTGATCAGAGATGCAGGTAAGAGGCCCATGATCACTCTGGATGAACTGCAGATAACTACAGCTGAGGTGGGAGAGTCTGTCCATAGGACAACAATCAGTCGTGCACTGCACAAATCTGGCCTTTATGGAAGAGTGCCATTTCTCAAAGATATCCATAAAAAGTCTCGTTTAAAGTTTGCCACAAGCCACCTGGGAGACACACCAAACATGTGGAAGAAGGTGCTCTGGTCAGATGAAACCAAAATCGAACTTTTTGGCCACAATGCAAAACGATATGTTTGGCGTAAAAGCAACACAGCTCATCACCCTGAACACACCATCCCCACTGTCAAACATGGTGGTGGCAGCATCATGGTTTGGGCCTGCTTTTCTTCAGCAGGGACAGGGAAGATGGCTAAAATTGATGGGAAGATGGATGGAGCCAAATACAGGACCATTCTGGAAGAAAACCTGTTGGAGTCTGCAAAAGACCTGAGACTGGGACGGAGATTTATCTTCCAACAGGACAATGATCCAAAACATAAAGCCAAATCTACAATGGAATGGTTCACAAAGAGACGTATCCAGGTGTTAGAATGGCCAAGTCAAAGTCCAGACCTGAATCCAATCGAGAATCTGTGGAAAGAGCTGAAGACTGCTGTTCACAAACGCTCTCCATCCAACCTCACTGAGCTCGAGCTGTTTTGCAAGGAAGAATGGGCAAGAATTCCAGTCTCTCGATGTGCAAAACTGATAGAGACATACCCCAAGCGACTTGCAGCTGTAATTGCAGCAAAAGGTGGCGCTACAAAGTATTAGCGCAAGGGGGCCGAATAATATTGCACGCCCCACTTTTCAGTTTTTTATTTGTTAAAAAAGTTTAAATTATCCAGTAAATTTTGTTCCACTTCACGATTGTGTCCCACTTGTTGTTGATTCTTGACAAAAAAAAATATTTTAATATCTTTATGTTTGAAGCCTGAAATGTGGCGAAATGTTGAAAGGTTCAATGGGGCCGAATACTTTCGCAAGGCACTGTATACATATATATATATAGATATATATATACACACATATATACTATATATATACACAGTAGAAAGAATGATAGAGTAGTTAGTCCTGGCTCAGTCCTGCATGGTTCAGTTCTGGTTCAGTCCCGGTTCAGTCCCGGTTCAGTCCCGGTTCAGACCTGGTTCAGACCTGGTTCAGACCTGGTCCAGACTTGGTCTCTGTATATAGTTGGTGATAATAATATTATATAAATATAAATCTTGGTTAAAACTAAACTCGTCAGCGGCGGCTCCAGTCGCTCTGACAAGACGTGAGCGGTCTGACCGGTCAGACCGGTCTGTCCGGTCTAATCGAGACCAACCGAACCAAAACAAAGCTAAGCAAATCAAACCAGAGCAAAGCAAAGCTAAGGAGGAGGGGCCGTGGCAGGAGGCAGGATGGGACCAGGATGAGCAACAGGAATGTGAGGCATGAGCCGGAGCTTTAAAGGCTCTGTCTGTGACCAAGGAGAGGAGAGGCTATAACAACGTTCAGACCTGGTTCAGACCTGGTTCAGACCTGGTACAGACCTGGTAAAGACCTGGTTCAGACCTGGTTCAGACCTGGTTCAGACCTGGTACAGACCTGGTAAAGACCTGGTTCAGACCTGGTACAGACCTGGTACAGACCTGGTACAGACCTGGTACAGACCTGGTACAGACCTGGTTCAGACCTGGTTCAGAACTGGTTCAGAACTGGTTCAGACCTGGTTCAGAACTGGTTCAGACCTGGTTCAGACTTCGTTCAGACCTGGTTCAGACTTGGTTCAGACCTGGTTCAGACCTGGTTCAGACCTGGTTCAGACCTTGTTCAGACCTGGTTCAGACCTGGTTCAGACCTGGTTCAGACTTGGTTCAGACTTGGTTCAGATCTTGTTCAGACCTGGTTCAGACTTGGTTCAGACCTTGTTCAGACCTGTTACAGACCTGGTTCAGACTTGGTTCAGACTTGGTTCAGACCTTGTTCAGACCTTGTTCAGACCTGGTTCAGACTTGGTTCAGACCTGGTTCAGACCTGGTTCAGACCTGGTTCAGACCTGGTTCAGACCTGGTTCAGACTTGGTTCAGACTTGGTTCAGAACTGGTTCAGCCCTGGTTCAGCCCTGGTTCAGACTTGGTTCATACTTGGTTCAGACCTGGTTCAGACCTGGTTCAGACCTGGTTCAGACCTAGTTCAGATCAATTCCAGACCTGGTTCAGACCTGGTTCAGACTTGGTTCAGACCTGGTTCAGACTTGGTTCAGACCTGGTTCAGACCTGGTTCAGACCTAGTTCAGATCAATTCCAGACCTGGTTCAGACCTGGTTCAGACTTGGTTCAGACCTGGTTCAGACTTGGTTCAGACCTGGTTCAGACCTGGTTCAGACCTGGTTCAGACCTGGTTCTTCCAATGAACACGATCACATCCAAGTGTTTGTTATGTTTCTGTGTTCTTTTTGAGATTTGTATTTATTTTAATATTTTGGGACAAAGCTCCTTAAATAAGCTTGACCCCATCCCGCTGCCCTGATAAAAACCTGCATCCCCACATTCACACCATTCATCAGCACCGTCATAAACTCCTCCCTCAGCTCTGGTATTGTTCCTCCCACACTAAAACTCTCCACCATCACACCCCTCCTGAAAAAACCTGGCCTGGAACCCGCCAATCTAGACAACTTCAGACCCATCTCCAACCTCCCAAAACACTAGAACGTTCCGTCATCGTGCAATATGGAATCAATTGTTTATTAGTTGAAACCTTCCAATCTGGTTTTCAGCCACAGCATAACACAAAAACAGCCCTCCTAAAAGTTATCAATGATCTCCTCGCTCAGAGACCACAGCAGCCCCGTCCTCACACAGCTCCACTGGCTTCTTTTACACCTCCATGGTTCTCCTCCTCCCCTACAAGTCCCTCCATAACCTGCTCCTTCACTGACCTCCTCCATCACTGACCTCCTCCTCCATCACTGACCTCCTCCTCCATCACTGACCTCCTCCTTCACTGACCTCCTCCATCACTGACCTCCTCCTTCACTGACCTCCTCCATCACTGACCTCCTCCATCATCACTGACCTCCTCCATCATCACTGACCTCCTCCTTCACTGACCTCCTCCATCACTGACCTCCTCCTCCATCACTGACCTCCTCCATCATCACTGACCTCCTCCTTCACTGACCTCCTCCTTCACTGACCTCCTCCATCACTGACCTCCTCCATCACTGACCTCCTCCATCTTCACTGACCCCCTCCTCCATCACTGACCTCCTCCATCACTGACCTCCTCCATCACTGACCTCCTCCATCTTCACTGACCTCCTCCTCCATCACTGACCTCCTCCATCACTGACCTCCTCCATCTTCACTGACCTCCTCCATCACTGACCTCCTCCTTCACTGACCTCCTCCTCCATCACTGACCTCCTCCATCTTCACTGACCTCCTCCATCACTGACCTCCTCCTTCACTGACCTCCTCCTCCATCACTGACCTCCTCCTCCATCACTGACCTCCTCCATCATCACTGACCTCCTCCATCACTGACCTCCTCCATCACTGACCTCCTCCTCCATCACTGACCTCCTCCATCATCACTGACCTCCTCCTCCATCACTGACCTCCTCCATCATCACTGACCTCCTCCTCCATCACTGACCTCCTCCATCATCACTGACCTCCTCCTCCATCACTGACCTCCTCCTCCATCACTGACCTCCTCCATCATCACTGACCTCCTCCTCCATCACTGACCTCCTCCATCATCACTGACCTCCTCCTCCATCACTGACCTCCTCCATCATCACTGACCTCCTCCTCCATCACTGACCTCCTCCATCACTGACCTCCTCCATCATCACTGACCTCCTCCTTCACTGACCTCCTCCATCACTGACCTCCTCCATCACTGACCTCCTCCATCACTGACCTCCTCCATCATCACTGACCTCCTCCATCACTGACCTCCGCCATCACTGACCTCCTCCATCACTGACCTCCTCCTTCACTGACCTGCTCCATCACTGACCTGCTCCATCACTGACCTCCTCCTCCATCCTCCTCCATCACTGACCTCCTCCTCCTTCACTGACCTCCTCCTTCACTGACCTCCTCCATCACTGACTTCCTCCATCACTGACCTCCTCCTCCTTCACTGACCTCCTCCTTCATCACTGACCTCCTCCTCCACCACTGACCTCCCCCTTCACTGACCTCCTCCATCACTGACCTCCTCCTCCATCACTGACCTCCTCCTCCATCACTGACCTCCTCCTCCATCACTGACCTCCTCCTTCACTGACCTCCTCCTCCATCACTGACCTCCCCCTTCACTGACCTCCTCCATCACTGACCTCCTCCTTCACTGACCTCCTCCTCCATCACTGACCTCCTCCATCACTGACCTCCCCCTTCACTGACCTCCTCCATCACTGACCTCCTCCTTCACTGACCTCCTCCTTCACTGACCTCCTCCTTCACTGACCTCCTCCATCTTCACTGACCTCCTCCTCCATCACTGACCTCCTCCATCACTGACCTCCTCCTTCACTGACCTCCTCCATCACTGACCTCCTCCATCACTGACCTCCTCCTTCATCACTGACCTCCTCCATCACTGACCTCCTCCTCCATCACTGACCTCCTCCTTCACTGACCTCCTCCATCATCACTGACCTCCTCCATCACTGACCTCCTCCATCACTGACCTCCTCCTTCACTGACCTCCTCCATCACTGACCTCCTCCTCCATCACTGACCTCCTCCATCACTGACCTCCTCCTCCATCACTGACCTCCTCCTCCATCACTGACCTCCTCCTCCATCATCACTGACCTCCTCCATCATCACTGACCTCCTCCATCACTGACCTCCTCCTCCATCACTGACCTCCTCCTTCACTGACCTCCTCCATCATCACTGACCTCCTCCATCATCACTGACCTCCTCCATCATCACTGACCTCCTCCTTCACTGACCTCCTCCATCACTGACCTCCTCCATCACTGACCTCCTCCATCACTGACCTCCTCCATCACTGACCTCCTCCATCACTGACCTCCTCCTTCACTGACCTCCTCCATCATCACTGACCTCCTCCATCATCACTGACCTCCTCCTTCACTGACCTCCTCCATCACTGACCTCCTCCTCCTTCATCACTGACCTCCTCCATCATCACTGACCTCCTCCATCACTGACCTCCTCCTTCACTGCCCTCCTCCTTCACTGACCTCCTCCTCCATCACTGACCTCCTCCTTCATCTGCTCCTGGTGTCTTCAGTAGATTCTACATTCATGCTGTTTATTTACAAAGTGCCACAGAACCACAGTCTTTGATGAAGGACGAGACACAGAACTGTCTTAACAACATGGGTTCAAGTCTCACCTCTGATCTTCAGGACCATCTTCTCTGAAGTCTGGACCATGTCCTTTGGACCGGTCACTTTTCAGAGACACAGAGCTGGGAGCAGGTCCAGGTCTGGGGTTAGACCCTGGTCCAGATTCTCGTGGCTCCATGTGGTAGAGGCTGGAATCAGAACAAGAGTCCATGTGAAGACTTTTCTCCCACAGTTCCTGAAGTGTAGCGCCCCCTGTGGTCAGAGTCATGGTTGCTCTGGTGTTTAAACCATGTGGAGCCACAGGTGACGATGGTGTTGACACTGGTCACATATTAATGCTCTGCCAAACCATCTCTTCACCGCCTTTTTGTGCCTCAATGTAAAAAGTCCTTGTGGACAAAGAGAGAGGACAAACTACAAACATGTTGTGTTGGTCTGAGCGTCACAAACACTTTAGTCTGAAGCAGGTTTGTACAACGAGGACATTTTAGACATTTAAATGCACCAACAGCTCTCCTTCTGTTAGAGACCGTTCTGGATTCACTAAATAAAAGCTTGGTTTGACTGAAGCCTTTGTCTTGTGTTTGACAAAGTGTCTGTGTCTAATGTGTGTTATTTACTTGTGTCTTTTCCTTTACCTTTTCACCTTGGCCCCGCCCACTTCCCCCTCCTCCAAGTGCCATGTACTCACCTCTTTCCTGCCTCACTTTTCTAAGCTCCTGTTGTTTTATTGTAGTAGTAATCTTTATTTATATACCGCCTTTTCACTGCAGATCTGAGTCTCAAAGCGGTTTACAATTGTTAATTTTTGGGCATTTGTCTCTCACTCCACACAGATGGGAGCGGGGTCGCCGAACAGGAGGCGCATGCCAGAACTATTGGACATGTTTTTAGTGGTAGGGGAAACCGAGGTACCCGGAGGAAACCTACGCAGACACGGGGAGAACATGCAAACTCCACTAAGAAAGGCCCTGGTCCGACCGGGATTCGAACCCAGGACCTTCTTGCTGAGAGGCGAGAGTGCTATCCACTCAGCCAGGTGGAAACATGTGGCTTTGGCCGTTTGTGAATAAAGGCTTTTAAGAAAGACTTCCTGGTGCAGCTCACATGGTGTTTGATCAGGTTTAGGAATGTAGTGAGACGTCTTTACTTCCTGTTGGAACAGATCCAGACAGAGACAGTCCAACGACACTAAGATCTAAAGTTAGGATACAATATATGACCTTTATCATCTTAAATAGAAAGAAACAAAGTGTAAAATACTGTATACTCTGTATGTCTATATATATATCTATATATATATAGATATATATATATATATACACACATATATACTATATATATACACAGTAGAAAAAATGATAGAGTCCTGGTTCAGACTCGGTCCAGACCTGGTCCAGACTTGGTCCAGACTTGGTCCAGACTTGGTCTCTGTTTATAGTTGTTGATAATAATATTATATAAATATAAATTTTGGTTAAAACTCACCTCGTCAGCGGCGGCTCCAGTCGCTCTGACAAGACGTGAGCGGTCTGACCGGTCCGTCCAGGTTCAGACCTGGTTCAGACTTGGTTCAGTCCTGGTTCAGACTTGGTTCAGTCCTGGTTCAGACCTGGTTCAGACCTGGTCCAGACCTGGTTCAGACTTGGTCCGAGAGATAAAGCAATTTCGTAGTTTGTTACAGTTATTCACAATGGAAAAAAGTCTGAGTTTGGTCCTGGTCCTGGTCCTGGTCCTGGTCCTTGTTCTGGTCCAGGTTTTGGTCCTGGTTCTTGTCCTGGTCCTGATTCTGTGCCGGGTTCTGGTCCAGGTCCTAGTCCTGGTTCTGGTCCTGGTCCTGGTCTTGGTCCTGCTCCCTATGAACCAATGGCTCTATCTGTTATTATTTCCTCTATTCTCTGTTTATTCTCTGATCTGTTGTTTGTGAATAGGCAACTTTTTAAAGTCCAAAGTAGGACTGATGGACCATACTACAGTAGGACTGACACAGACCGTACTACAGTAGGACTGACGCTGACCATACTACAGTAGGACTGACACGGACCATACTACAGTAGGACTGACACAGACCATACTACAGTAGAACTGACACGGACCATACTACAGTAGGACTGACACAGACCGTAGGATTGACGCAGACCATACTACAGTAGGACTGACACAGACCATACTACAGTAGAACTGACACAGACCATACTACAGTAGGACTGACACAGACCATACTACAGTAGGACTGACACAGACCATACTACAGTAGAACTGACACAGACCATACTACAGTAGGACTGACGTAGACCATACTACAGTAGGACTGACACGGACCATACTACAGTAGGACTGACACAGACCATACTACAGTAGAACTGACGCAGACCATACTACAGTAGGACTGACACAGACCGTACTACAGTAGGACTGACGCTGACCATACTACAGTAGGACTGACACGGACCATACTACAGTAGAACTGACACGGACCATACTACAGTAGAACTGACACGGACCATACTACAGTAGGACTGACACAGACCGTAGGATTGACGCAGACCATACTACAGTAGGACTGACACAGACCATACTACAGTAGAACTGACACAGACCATACTACAGTAGGACTGACACAGACCATACTACAGTAGGACTGACACGGACCATACTACAGTAGGACTGACACGGACCATACTACAGTAGGACTGACACGGACCATACTACAGTAGGACTGACGCGGACCATACTACAGTAGAACTGACGCAGACCATACTACAGTAGGACTGACACAGACCATGTCAGTAGGACTGACGCGGACCATACTACAGTAGGTTATTGAACCATGTGTGCCATGGTTCAAAACATGCAAACTCTATCTACTAGAAAGGCCCTGTTCCGACTGGGATTCGAACCCAGGACCTTCTTGCTGAGAAGCGGGAGTGCTAACCACTCAGCCACCGTGCCGCCCAGACTCAAGTTTGATCAAGTTTAGAAATGTAGAGAAACGACTTTACTTCCTGTTGGAACAGATTCAAACAGAGACACTCCTGAAGTCCTAGACCTGGTTCAGACCTGGTCTAGACCTGGTCCAGACCTGGTTCTGGGTAAATGTCAGTGTTGCGTCACGAGTTACAAAACAGAAGAATGAGGAGCATTCGGGCGACAGTAGCTCAGTTGGTAGAGCATTGGCCTTAAGGCCAGAAGGTCGTGGGTTCAATTCCCACCTCTACACCTTCTCCACCAACTCCCAATGATGACTGCTGTCGTTGTGTCCTTGGGCAAGACACTTAACCCCACTTTGCCCAAATCCCCCACTGAAAGATCAAGGCTATGCTCGCACTCAGAGAGCAGCCGTCCTCCTGTGGACTCACCACCTGCAGAGGGTCAGTGAGGGGTTGGTGCTATGAGACTTGGGTGGCATCTCTGACTGCCACCCCCCTGACCCAGAAATGGATTAAAGGGTAGAAAATGGATGGATGGATGGATGGAAGAATGAGGAGCAAACAACAAAAGAGAAGTGAATATTAAATATAGAACAACTCTATACTTTAAGACACAAAGTATAAAATAGTTTATACTATAAATATATATGGAACGAATGATAGGGTAGTTAGTCCTGGTTCAGACCTGGTTCAGACCTGGTTCAGACCTGGTTCAGACCTGGTTCAGACCTGGTTCAGACCTGGTTAAGTCCTAGTTCAGACCTGGTCTAGTCCTGGTTCAGACTTGGTCTCTGTATATAGTTGGTGATAATAATGATATAAAAGTATAAATCTTGGTTAAAACGCACCTTGTCAGCGGCGGCTCCAGTCGCTCTGACAAGACGTGAGCGGTCTGACCGGTCTAATCGAGACCATCCAGGCTCTGTCTGTGGGCAGCACGGTGGCTGAGTGGTTAGCACTCTCGCCTCGCAGCAAGAGGGTCCTGAGTTCGAATCCCGGTTGGACCAGGGCCTTTCTCAGTGGAGTTTTCATGTTCTCCCCGTGTCTGCGTAGGTTTCCTTCGGGTGCTCCGGTTTCCCCTACCACTAAAAACATGTCCAATAGGTCTGTGCCTCCTGTACTGGCCCCGCTCCCATCTCTGTGTGGAGCGAGAGACTAATGCCCAAAAATAACAACTGTAAACCTCTTTGAGACTCTGGTCTGCATATACTAATGCTTATGGTATATACATAAAGATTACTTACTGTCTGTGAGGAGAGGCTATAACACGGTTCAGACCTGGTTCAACTATAATCTACAAATACAATCTGATATTGGAATGTAACTTAAGTTATCATTTTGGTAAATCATATGTGGCTATGTGCTGAATGCTCTGTATTGTAATTCACTTTAGCTTCAGGAAGACACCGGGAGGTCTGGAGAGCTCATATGCTAAGTGTCTTTTGTTGTGTTGGTTTCTTCCTTTCCCATCTGCATACGAAGGTGTGTCTTGTTCTACCAAAAGGGGCTTGCAGACTGTGAATCTTCAGACTTGTCCTGAGAGAGGCTAGGGTCTGTGCCTTGCCTCTGTCAAGACATTCTCCTTGTACAATGTAACAAGTAAAAGATTAACTTTGTCTCTTTGTTGTGTGAGATTTCATCAGGTTCAACTGTAGCTGAAACAGCATTATCACAATCTAAGAGGGCAAACCAATTTCAAGAAACATTGTGTTCGTAAATCCCTAAAGAGCTTGTTCATTACACGGCGTGCATTTGTGGAATGAACTTGAAGAGAGCCTGAAAACTGCTAAAACCTTTTTAAACTTTAAAAAGCTGTACAAGTTAAGCATCTTTAAAGACTATGCCACTGATGAGGGTTCACAGTATGTATGTGTGTATCCTTGATTCCACCAGCCACAGTGGGGCAAGCACCCATAAGTATTTCTTTACTTCAGCTTGCTCCTTTTGAGCTCTATACAGTATTTTGTTAACTTTTGATTGTATACTCAACTGCAGTTATGATTTGACTCTATATGTACTGTTCAAACAGCTCAAGTACAGCAAACAATAACAATAAACAAATAAGATTCAATTTGACTTGTTGTTGGCTTTTATTTCTTATTCAAATATCAGTGTGTTTGTGTTGAAGTGCAGTGTTACATCTCCCCAGCAGGGGGCAATCAAACCAGAGGTTTACTTACAACTGGGCAAACTAGCGTTCCCACATTTGATGTGAAAAGTCCAAATGTATTTGAAGGAAATGAGGATTTGTTTCAGCTTTTATGCATAACTACAGAGTCCTTTTTGTTTTTGAGCCATGTATTGCAGGTTTGTCATTGTGCTTCAGGTCATGGTCCTTATTATAAAAGAGCCCTCCATCCATCCATCCATTTTCTTCCGCTTTATCCGTTGCCGGGTCGCGGGGGCAGCAGTCTAAGCAGAGACGCCCAGACTTCCCTATCCACACACACTTCCTCCAGCTCGTCCGGGGGGACCCCAAGGCGTTCCCAGGCCAGCTGAGAGACATAGTCCCTCCAGCGTGTCCTAGGTCTTCCGCGGGGCCTCCTCCCGGTGGGACGTGCCCGGAACACCTCCCCAGGAAGGCGTCCAGGAGGCATCCTGAACAGATGCCCGAGCCACCTCAACTGGTTCCTCTCGACGTGGAGAAGCAGCGGCTCTACTCCGAGCTCCTCCCGTGTGACTGAGCTCCTCACCCTATCTCTAAGGGAGCGCCCAGCCACTCTGCGGAGGAAGCTCATTTCGATCGCTTGTGTCCGCGATCTCGTTCTTTCGGTCGGCCAAAAGCTCATAACCATAGGTGAGGGAGGGAACGAAGATTGACAGTAAATCCAGAGCTTTGCCTTTCCGCTCAGCTCCCTCTTCACCACAACGGTCCGATACAGCGACCGCATCACTGCGCACGCTGCACCGATCCGCCTGTCAATCTCACGCTCCATTCTTCCCTCACTAGATGTTGTGTGTGCGGACTGGGTCGCCGAGGTCTCCGCCTTCGACTGCCGCCCAGTCCTCTCAGCACCGCGCCCTAAAGAGCCCTGTTAGTCACTATTTGAGGCTCTGAGCTGATCGGCTGAGGGTGCTCCTCTTTTCACAGTCCTGTCTGACTAATCGGATGACGTTAGTTTCATTTGTCGTGGTTTTAAAGGTGGGTACCCCAGCTTAAGGTGCATATGTCAAGCTATATTTTACGTCCCCGCAGGACTTTCCTTCCTGCTGCTGTCAGACTGTACAACAAACAATGAGGGCTAGGGAACACTGCCGACCTGAACTTGCATATGTCATGCATCGGTGCAATGATGACTTTAAGAATTTCAGAATTTGCAATATAGAACCACACGTGTCACTGTGGCTCTACTTTGCCACTTTGTCCCATACCCCCCTCTTGCTGCTAACATGCACAGATGTATACACACAACTCCATCTTACTGGCACTACAATACACACTACTTTATACTTGCTTCTTATTATGCCAAAGGTAGAGACTTTATACTTTGATATCATGTGAAAGTCAGTGTTCTTGTATTCATTGTGCTAAAGATAGAGATTATATTCTGCTTCTTTTGATGCTAGAGTTAGACATTTTTATTTGATTTGATTTACTCTACAGAGGGATCATTTGTCTTGTGTGCAACTCATTTCTGATGTTCTGTAACTGCTGATGCAACACTGAAATGTCTCCACTGTGGGACGAATAAAGGATCTCTTCATCTCAATCTTTACACAATCAAGATGATTATATTTCAGAAATATATTTTCAGAATTCTTCTCATCTTTCTTCTCATATTTGACAGAGCCAGAATTCGGCTGCATCCGACTCCATCAGAAAGCGTTTGTTCTTCCTCTGCTGAGGGCAGCCACAGGTTTGGCTAACATACATATAACACATTTTAAGATGATTTGAAAGCCACTTTGGATAATGTCCTACTTCCAATGACCTAAGAATGATAATAAAGAGAGGTAAAGGGTAAGAAGGTAAATTTTAGAAATTGGATTCACCCGAGAGTCGGCTGCCACCGGAGAAACACAAGAAGAAGAGACGGGAGACACCCGTTTTGTTTTACTTTTTCAAACTCATTGGACTAATTTCCAAATGGAGGCTTACGTATCTGCGCTCAAACTATTATCTGGACTTTAACATGAAACTGGTCTGAACTGAAGTGGTCTGTGGAGTTCATTTATAAAGTAAGGCCCATAACACACTGTTAAATGTGACGCAAAATATATTCCGCAGTTACCAAACAAATATTGAATAATCCGCGGAGTAGGTCCTGTTGAAAATGTGTCAATCTGATTGGGATGAAGTCGGTGGCTCACAATCACCAAACTATTTGCATGTGTGCTTTTGGATCCAAAAGGTTACCCCCCCTCCTTT